TCTGCCCCCTAACAGTGTCTCTCTGATCTCTGACTGATATTGAAAACAGTTCGAGTGGCCCTCAGGCGTTTGTATGTTCACATGAACTTTGATTGGGTTGCACAGAACATGCAGCTACCGTAGCTAAACGCTGTCACTCCGCTGGCTGAATACATCAGCAACGCCTGCCATGACAATCTATTTCCGTCAGTAATAACCAGACACAGATAATTAGTTTGTTAAGCCCTGCTGGTTGTGCCTTTGTGTTTTTTCCTCTTATTTTCATTAGTTGCATAATTACTCAAAGTGCCTCTTTTTAATTTAATATCCTATAAGGTGATTTTATCCAATTAGGTTTTGAATTATTTAGAGCTAATTAGAATATCTTAGCAATTCCTCCCCCTGCTCTCTCAAAAATACTTCAAGAATTAATCTTTTAAAAACATCACTCACTTCCCCTTTCTACCTCTAATTAAGATCATCCCACAGTCGTTTCTCTTGAAATCGTTCACTTTCACTCTTAAACTACTTTTTTTCTCTCTCTATTTTGCCATTCTTTTGAAATATAAGTCCCCACCCCCTCTACATCTCTCTCTCACACACGCACACACACACATACACACTCATTTTCACTGTTTCATATTAATCTCCTCATGAACGATTTTGCCACCCGGCTGCTTTCCACTCCAAATCCCAGTCATGTGACTGCTGTTTTAAGAGAAATCCTAGATGTGTCGTCCGGGTAAAGAGGGGCTGTTGTGGATGGATTAGTGGAGGGGCTTCATCGGGTCAGACAGACTGTGTCGTCTCTACAATCAGCACTTTTACTCTTCACTTTTCAGATGCTTTTTAAGCTTACGACTGACAACACTAATATTCACTGGGTTTAATCTATAAAGCTAAATCTATCTATCTGTTATGCTGTTATTCTCTCTGTCTATCGTTGTATCTGTCTGTTGTTCTATCATTCTGTCGTTTTATCTAACATTTTTTCATTCTATCTTTTGTACTATCTTTCGTTCCATCAGTCATTCTATCGTTCTATCATTTTAATTATCTTTCTATCTATTTTTTATATATTTCCGACTCTCTGTTGATCTATCTATCTATCTATCTATCATCTACTGTAAATATTGTTCTATCGTTCTGTCTATCTATCATTCTATCTATCATTCTAATATTCAATTGTACTATTGTCTATCTATCTATCTATCTATCTATCTATCTGTCTGTCTGTCTGTCTGTCTGTCTGTCTATCTAATATTCAATTATTCTATCTATCTATCTATCTATCTATCTATCTGTCTGTCTGTCTGTCTGTCTGTCTGTCTAATACTCAGTTATTCTATCTATCTTTCTATCTCTCTGTCTGTCTGTCTGTCTGTCTGTCTGTCTAATATTCAGTTATTCTAGCTATCTATCTATCTGTCTATCTGTCTGTCTATCTATCTAGCTATCTATCTATCTGTCTATCTGTCTGTCTATCTATCTAGCTATCTATCTATCTGTCTATCTGTCTGTCTATCTATCTAGCTATCTATCTATCTGTCTATCTGTCTGTCTATCTATCTAGCTATCTATCTATCTGTCTATCTGTCTGTCTATCTATCTAGCTATCTATCTATCTGTCTATCTGTCTGTCTATCTATCTAGCTATCTATCTATCTGTCTATCTGTCTGTCTATCTATCTAGCTATCTATCTATCTGTCTATCTGTCTGTCTATCTATCTAGCTATCTATCTATCTGTCTATCTGTCTGTCTATCTATCTAGCTATCTATCTATCTGTCTATCTGTCTGTCTATCTATCTAGCTATCTATCTATCTGTCTATCTGTCTGTCTATCTATCTAGCTATCTATCTATCTGTCTATCTGTCTGTCTATCTATCTAGCTATCTATCTATCTGTCTATCTGTCTGTCTATCTATCTAGCTATCTATCTATCTGTCTATCTGTCTGTCTATCTATCTAGCTATCTATCTATCTGTCTATCTGTCTGTCTATCTATCTAGCTATCTATCTATCTGTCTATCTGTCTGTCTATCTATCTAGCTATCTATCTATCTGTCTATCTGTCTGTCTATCTATCTAGCTATCTATCTATCTGTCTATCTGTCTGTCTATCTATCTAGCTATCTATCTATCTGTCTATCTGTCTGTCTATCTATCTAGCTATCTATCTATCTGTCTATCTGTCTGTCTATCTATCTAGCTATCTATCTATCTGTCTATCTGTCTGTCTATCTATCTAGCTATCTATCTATCTGTCTATCTGTCTGTCTATCTATCTAGCTATCTATCTATCTGTCTATCTGTCTGTCTATCTATCTAGCTATCTATCTATCTGTCTATCTGTCTGTCTATCTATCTAGCTATCTATCTATCTGTCTATCTGTCTGTCTATCTATCTAGCTATCTATCTATCTGTCTATCTGTCTGTCTATCTATCTAGCTATCTATCTATCTGTCTATCTGTCTGTCTATCTATCTAGCTATCTATCTATCTGTCTATCTGTCTGTCTATCTATCTAGCTATCTATCTATCTGTCTATCTGTCTGTCTATCTATCTAGCTATCTATCTATCTGTCTATCTGTCTGTCTATCTATCTAGCTATCTATCTATCTGTCTATCTGTCTGTCTATCTATCTAGCTATCTATCTATCTGTCTATCTGTCTGTCTATCTATCTAGCTATCTATCTATCTGTCTATCTGTCTGTCTATCTATCTAGCTATCTATCTATCTGTCTATCTGTCTGTCTATCTATCTAGCTATCTATCTATCTGTCTATCTGTCTGTCTATCTATCTAGCTATCTATCTATCTGTCTATCTGTCTGTCTATCTATCTAGCTATCTATCTATCTGTCTATCTGTCTGTCTATCTATCTAGCTATCTATCTATCTGTCTATCTGTCTGTCTATCTATCTAGCTATCTATCTATCTGTCTATCTGTCTGTCTATCTATCTAGCTATCTATCTATCTGTCTATCTGTCTGTCTATCTATCTAGCTATCTATCTATCTGTCTATCTGTCTGTCTATCTATCTAGCTATCTATCTATCTGTCTATCTGTCTGTCTATCTATCTAGCTATCTATCTATCTGTCTATCTGTCTGTCTATCTATCTAGCTATCTATCTATCTGTCTATCTGTCTGTCTATCTATCTAGCTATCTATCTATCTGTCTATCTGTCTGTCTATCTATCTAGCTATCTATCTATCTGTCTATCTGTCTGTCTATCTATCTAGCTATCTATCTATCTGTCTATCTGTCTGTCTATCTATCTAGCTATCTATCTATCTGTCTATCTGTCTGTCTATCTATCTAGCTATCTATCTATCTGTCTATCTGTCTGTCTATCTATCTAGCTATCTATCTATCTGTCTATCTGTCTGTCTATCTATCTAGCTATCTATCTATCTGTCTATCTGTCTGTCTATCTATCTAGCTATCTATCTATCTGTCTATCTGTCTGTCTATCTATCTAGCTATCTATCTATCTGTCTATCTGTCTGTCTATCTATCTAGCTATCTATCTATCTGTCTATCTGTCTGTCTATCTATCTAGCTATCTATCTATCTGTCTATCTGTCTGTCTATCTATCTAGCTATCTATCTATCTGTCTATCTGTCTGTCTATCTATCTAGCTATCTATCTATCTGTCTATCTGTCTGTCTATCTATCTAGCTATCTATCTATCTGTCTATCTGTCTGTCTATCTATCTAGCTATCTATCTATCTGTCTATCTGTCTGTCTATCTATCTAGCTATCTATCTATCTGTCTATCTGTCTGTCTATCTATCTAGCTATCTATCTATCTGTCTATCTGTCTGTCTATCTATCTAGCTATCTATCTATCTGTCTATCTGTCTGTCTATCTATCTAGCTATCTATCTATCTGTCTATCTGTCTGTCTATCTATCTAGCTATCTATCTATCTGTCTATCTGTCTGTCTATCTATCTAGCTATCTATCTATCTGTCTATCTGTCTGTCTATCTATCTAGCTATCTATCTATCTGTCTATCTGTCTGTCTATCTATCTAGCTATCTATCTATCTGTCTATCTGTCTGTCTATCTATCTAGCTATCTATCTATCTGTCTATCTGTCTGTCTATCTATCTAGCTATCTATCTATCTGTCTATCTGTCTGTCTATCTATCTAGCTATCTATCTATCTGTCTATCTGTCTGTCTATCTATCTAGCTATCTATCTATCTGTCTATCTGTCTGTCTATCTATCTAGCTATCTATCTATCTGTCTATCTGTCTGTCTATCTATCTAGCTATCTATCTATCTGTCTATCTGTCTGTCTATCTATCTAGCTATCTATCTATCTGTCTATCTGTCTGTCTATCTATCTAGCTATCTATCTATCTGTCTATCTGTCTGTCTATCTATCTAGCTATCTATCTATCTGTCTATCTGTCTGTCTATCTATCTAGCTATCTATCTATCTGTCTATCTGTCTGTCTATCTATCTAGCTATCTATCTATCTATCTATCTATCTATCTATCTATCTATCTGCTATTCTGTTATTCTGTTATTCTATCTGTCTATCATTGTATCTGTCTCTTGTTCTATCTATCATTCTGTCGTTTTATCTAACATTTTTTCATTCTATCTTTTGTTCCATCGGTCATTCTATCATTCTATCATTTTAATTACCATATCTTTCTATCTATTTTTCTATATATTTCCGTCTCTCTGTTGTTCTGTCTCATTCTATCTTCCATTGTTCTATCAATCTATCATTCTATCATTCTGTCACTTTATCTATCATTCATTCTATCTGTTGTTCTATCTGTAATTCTATCTATCATTCTATCGTTTTGTTTTGTTCTATCTATCATTCTTTCTATTGTATATCATTCTATCTGTCTATTGTTCTTTCTGTCCTTCTGTCTGTCATTCTGTCTGTGTATTGTTCTATCTGTCTTTTGTACGTTGTAGATGTCTAAATAGCTTGAAGTAAAATATCAAATCATCACTGGATTGTTTTCCCTCCCCAGCGTAATCCTCCTTTAATGGTCTCTGATCTCTTTGAAGATGTGAAAGATGGAGTGATGTTGTTAGCTCTTCTTGAAGTCCTGTCTGGTCACAAACTGGTAAGAAAAATGCACTTTTGGTTGTTTTGGTATTTGATTTTCCTTTGTTAATCGAAGTTACTTAACAGCTGTACAAATGACTTTTACGGTATCAAGCATCATTGTCCCAGTCAGATTTAAATTTCTGTAATATAGAACATTGTTTTTAAATTGTGACATTGTTTTAAATGATAGCAAACATGATAATACAAGACATATTACCAAAAAAAAAAAAAAAAGTGTATTCACTGCACTTTATTAGCGCTCACTTACTCACACACACATGAATACCCACACTCTCAGTGAACAATCCCATAAGGCTATTGGTGCCTCAGGTCTTTGCAGTGCTGTAACAATCAATATAGCAAGTGGCACATGGTCCTTTGATCTTTTTTTTTTCTTTTTTACTTTTGTCTCTTGCAATCTATTTGGTGTCATCTTTGTATTCTCTGTTTCTCTGTATTATTTGTATATAACTATCTGGCCCAACTGCTTTTTTTCTCTCTTTCTGTTTTTTTGTTTGTTTTCATATCTTTCTCCCTGTTCCTTGCTGGGTATTTACATTTTCCTCTGTCTATCACTGTTTTCCTTTTGTCTGCTGTGCTATCTTCTCCCATCTGACAGCCATGCGAACAGGGCCGCAAGCTGAGGAGGATCCACTGGGTTGCTAACGTGGGAAGAGCACTGAAGTTTCTGGAGGGCAGGAGGGTAAGGCAGTCCATTCCCAGAGTGCTTTGCTCAGGTGTACAGCTCCAGGTCATAACCACTCAGTCTGACCTGCACAACCTCTTCCCCGCTCTGCTCTGATACTGCTCTCTTGCTTTACAACACTGTCTCATGAGAGACAAAGAGAAGGAAAACCCTGTTCTTCATTTCATGTTTAATTCTCATTCTAACCAAGAAATTGTTTCATTTAAATCACCAACAAATGAAGGATTTATGGATTAATTAGAACATGCTACATGGCTCAGAATAGATTTATGAAGGTGAGCTGACACGTCAGACTGAAATGATTCACCTTATTGAGGTTTAGTCCTGAGTCAGCTTCTAATAAATCTGTCTCTGGTGCCTCACATGTGGCATTATAACAGACAATACAACACAAAATACATACATGCATACTGTACATACATATATATACATATATACCCTGGCCTGAAATAAATGATCAGTTTCGTAAAAAAAAAATGTAAGCCGCACAACTGTTTTCAAGCACCAAATCAGCATATTGTAATGATTTCTGAAGGATTGTGTTACACTGAAAACTGCTGAAAATTCAGCTTTGCCATCACTTAAATAAATGAATTACATTTTCAAATAGAACACAGTTATTTTAAATTGTAATAATACTTCACAATATTACTGTGTTTTCAAATGAATGCCTTGGTGAGCATAAGAGACCTCTTTCAAAAACATACAAATTCTTACCAACCCTAAATCTTTGAAAGGTAGTGTATACAGTTTAATGGTCACAAAAATATTTGACCACTCAAAAGTTCATTTTGCAGTTTTTCTCAGTCGCTTTGGTGCATTTCTCAAATCAGAAATGAAATTCTCAAAACTACTTGTTCAACCTCCACATCATCTAGTCATTTGTACACATCATAAAAGCAGTTTCTCATTCTTTTGAACAAGTTGCGAATGCTTTGGTACATTCATGCAATTGATTGTGTACATTTATCTGCGGTTTCCTATATTATCAGTTGCTAATGTCATGTTGCTCAAAATGTATTAAATAGTT